CGTGGCCCAATAAGAAATGTCTAAACGTTTATTGCAACAACTGTGATTCGTCGTTACGTAGACACATCCCATTTTAAAACCATATAAGGCAATTTTTTGATAATTTCTTCATTTTAAACAGTTTTTAACAGTTTTGGATGGAATAAAATTTATTACATATTAAAAACATCGAATTTTCTTCATTTATTAATAATTTAGCATCTTGTCCTAAGGATTAAAGTGCTAAACATATTGTTCCAATTGATACAATATTAGAATGAAGTAGATATGCGGTTTTTAGACCAAAAATGTATTTTTCCCCCGATTTATATTAAAGATGATTTTGAATAGATATTTTTAACCAAATAATTAATAAATTTTTGTGTTTCCAGTTCAGGTTCAAAAACCGGTTTTATTAGTTTGGAACTAAATTTGCACTAGAAGAAGAAAAAATTTAAAAATACCAGAAATTTATTGAATTCAGAAGGTGATGGTTTTTTTCCACAAAGACATAAAAAATGTCAGAACATTCAGATATATTTCCATTATTTTCATTTATAAATCATATTTGATTACAAAATAAATGAATATCTAAATAAAAATAATTCGTGAGTGTGTAAATATGTTCAATATGAAAAGGTATTTTCAAAATACGGATTTAGCATTCAATTAAAAATAATGTACTAAATTTCAACAATGCATTTATATAAATGTTAGCTCGCATTATCGTTCAGTTCTGGTATTGATTTCTATATATTTTATGTAGTATAAATCGTATTACATAATTCTTGTTGGGATTCATATACACCCTAACATATATAAAGAAGGACTTTGTTCTATGAAATTAACTTAACTTGAATACTTATTAATATTTGGCGGAAAGACCTATAATTTTTTAATTCAATTTCATTTAAGTTCATTATTTATTGTCTTGTACATATTATCGTTTTTTAATGAATACATATTTTACATATAAATCGTATATTTTAACACACACAGGAATAAAGAAGACAAATACACGTGACTACACGTCATTTAAAACAATGTAATTTTAATATTACGTAAACTTAAATTAATTATCTTGTATAGCATAAATATATTGAATAAATTGCATTGGTATTTACTCAAGTGCAATAAAATGTCTGCGAATTGTACAGCTCAATTTTCAAGTTTTGTTTCAATATATACTTTCTGTCTTTGAGCTGTCATTCTCAGAAATTGAATTAATGAATTTTTCCTACATTATTATTTAGTACATTGTTATTACAATTATTAGAAATTATTAAATTTTAATGAAATTGTTTTAATAAAATTTTTACCAATAATTTTATGTAGTATGTCAAATTTAATTAAAATTTTAACTATTCTGGTATTGTTTTGAAACCGGACTAATCGAGACCTTTTAAAAGAAATTATAAAAAAAAATACTTGATTTTAAGATTTAATTATATATTCATCACTAAAATTATAATTTATATCTAATATAATGTTTTTGCGTAATTGGTTTCCTAGGATAAGAAGGATGCAGGAAATAACTGAACAATCCATCAAGTTAGATTTTTTTTACCAGTATACTAAACTTACAGAGAAGTTTCACATACTATTCTCGAAGAATGACACAAATTGGATTTATGCGAGAAGTAGATAAACAAAATTGCAAAAAAAAGGACACCAATTTGTATAACATTATTAATTTTTTCTTTATTCCAATTTCTTGTTACCAAGTAAAATATATAATGATTATAAAATATAGACATTAAGTTAAAAAGTTCCACAATTTCAAAAAAAAAATTATATATAAATATTTTCACTTTTTTCAATGAAAAATAGAAAAAGTTATTTGTTATTATTTTTGTAAACATGTAACAAACAAATCTAAATTAAAACATTTATAATGTCAATAAAAACGAATTTCCTTACTTGTAACATATTTAATTATGTTCTTTTGAAATTAACTTCATTTTTGTTGTGTAATTACACTTGAAATTAACGAGAGCTGCGCTATATATCACGTAATATGATAAAATTAAGCGTTGGATTTTTTTTGATGTATTGCAATTCATATATTAACCGTAATAAGAGACCGTCGTGTAAGACCAATAAATATGCAAAATCCGTGACTTGATTGTGTCTCCGGCTTTACCGTTGCGATATGGAAGCTCGTAAAATATTATCGCAGTGTTACAGACGGATTGTATAATAACAAATGTGCAAAAAGATAAAAAAAAATATACACACAGTCAACCGAATATCTCTTATGAGAATTACAGTAAAAATTACCGCTTGAAATTGTCCTTTGCGATAACAACATTTCTTTTTTTATAAACCGTGTAAAAGTGATAGGAAGTACCGTGTTAAATGAAGAATAAAATTTTGTTGTAATAAAGATTGTTTTTATTATATTTTCATATTGATTTATAAGTGTAATTCAAATCTAATAATGAAATGTTTAATATTGAACGAATACAAATAAGCTTTTATAAGATTTAATTGGCTGCAATAACTACGAAATTATACATTTCACACAAAGCTTTTACGTTTTTCCTCGCTCCTTTCACACATACTCTTTTTTTTTGCCATCATTCCTTTTTCCGTCCTCTCTCAGTTTAAGTAACGATTTTTTTCTCGGGCTTATTCATTCGAGCTTGCTGCTCCTGCCTCTCGAGCTGCAGCGAGGTGTGTGTGTTATTACACACTTGGTTTGCCACCCGGGCTGACCACTGAATTCCTGACCAGCCGGGACCAGAGGCGGTAATGAAGTTACTACTACAGCGCCGACTACTATCGCCGGTTGTTGTAGTAGTAACAGCAGTGGTAGTAGTTGTTGCATTAGAGGGTCGCATTTCCCGACCGACTTTTCAATTTGATCTAGTGGGACTTTCCTGTTGCTTCGGTACAAGTACAAGTGACTCCGTGTCGCATTTGCATGTTATTAGGTGGCGACGTTCGGTCCGAGCAAGCGAAAAATATTCCGCGTTGCTCGGGGATGCGGGGGTTGCAGTCGCTTCCCCTATTTATTTCCAATTTGAAAATGGCATTGTTGGTGCATGTCGCTGTCGTTTGTTTTATTCCTATTTTTCCTAGTTTTCTTTTCACTTACCTTCTTTTTTTTGTTTTGTTTTATTTTATTTATTTCTGTAAAGAGGCTGCATTGAACGAGTCTCGGTGGCTGGTTGGTAACGGCCGGGAGGGTGGTAGCAGGGTGGAAGCTCGTGGTTAGTTCCCTGTGGCGCAGGCCCTAGATCTGAACCGCTTTCAGAAGCAGTCGCGTACACATGTCATCATACCGTGATCACCTAACGTACCCAGAGTTCAGCGCGCGTCCGTAACTTGCACGCACGTCTCATGCGCTCTAAGGTGAGTACTACAAACTGGATGCATTCTGGTAGTAGTAGATCAGTGACAGCAGACTCAGGGAGCAGTTGTTATCCACTTTATACTTATATCACGTGCGACCAATCGTAAGCACATTAACAATTTATTTATTTTTATTGAATTGTTTTTATTTTTTATTTGTAAATTTAATTTTTTTATTATAATTAAATAAATTGCAATATTTTGTTGCAGGTGACGCGATAAATGCAACAAATCTTTGATTTAGTGGAGATGGTCGAGCACGTGGAAGCGCGTCCGAGGCCAAGGTAGTGGTAACGACTGGTCAAATTAGTGCGAAGAGTGATTGTTTTCTTTCAGGTGGGGGAGCCTAGCTACGGAGCATTCGTTCCTAGACCTTCTTCAGGAAGAGACACCCTCGAGCGCAGTGCTGCAGCCGGCGGCTTTAACCCTGGCCCCAATAAACGCAAATATTTACTCGAGAAGACACTCTTCCCACGCTTGCCCAACAAATGAGTCCCAGAAGACGTCCTCGTTCCAGGTAGTGCCCAAGGCGACAGCTACTCCATCATCCTCGTCGGCTCTTCCACCGCTGCCTCTACGGCCGCCGGCCGTCCCCAAGCGCAATTTCGTACCCATGATTGAACCCAAAGTGAAACCCAAGTCACCTCCGGCTATACCACAAAGGAATCGCCGCCTTCCTCCGGTGCCTCCGGCCAGGAAGACTCGCAGCGCCTCGCCCAAAAACAAATCGACATCCTTTGAGTTCGAGTACGCCAGGATTACGATACCGCCGGCACCTATGGGTCCGCCGCCACCAGCCCCTAAGGCGTACCACAAACAGATTTCACCGGCCAACAAAACTAATAACCCGAAAGTTTCAATCCGTCAGGATTCGAGTATTTCCAGCGATAGCTTCAGTCAAAACTCATCGCCCAGTTATACAACGAAAACTATGGAAACGCCCCTGCTGCCCCCGAAGACACCGGTTAAACAAAACGGCGTTATCAATAAATTACAACCGCATGTTGCTGAAGATGATTCCAGTGGGAACTCAACAATAACTAAGAGCGCGTCGACGCCAGCCAGCCTCCAAGCCATTGTCAGATTACAGAACGGATCCAACATGACATTACATCACAGGGTAATCATCCCTGCACCGCGCACTGCTGATTTCCAATTCAATGTTTAATCCCTTCCAGATCATTAAGGACATAAGACGCCCTTCCAGTCATTACGTGAGCAGGATGGGGTTTCGCTTTCGCTTCGCACAAGTCCTGATTAACGCTCTCTTCCTTTTGGGTATCGGCATTGGAATGGCCATCTATTTTCGAGGTATGTCAAAAATTCAATACTTACAAATATTATTTTTATATTTTCTTGATTAAGTACTTTTAATTAACATTTGATTACTTTCAATTATTTTACTTATAAAAATTAATTTTTATTAAGAAAATAACAATTTCAATTCATACAAAAATAAATGATTATGCTGGCTGGATCCATTTTAATGATTTATTTCATATTTTAAACACGTTATTTTTGTTAATAACATTAATATTCGTAAAAATCAATTTTAAAAAATTGTCATGACGCATTTTATATAAAAAATACAATTAAAAAAATAATAATTAACTATTATTAGTGTCCTAATTCTTCTACAAAAGATGTTTCATTAATGTTGATTTTTCCACTATTTGTATTACACTGAAATTCTAAAATAATTATAATTAAATATGCATTTTATCATATTTAATTATAATTATTTTAGAATTTCCGTGTAATAAAAAAGGTAAAAACATTTTGTATTTGTATAATTATAAAAAGAAAGCTGACTTACCCAATTTTATTTTCTGTTTAAATTTAAATGTTTACAAACTTAGAGCTTTTCCTTTAATACGATTTCCATTTAAAGGACTTTTATTCCAATCATCAGAGATTTCTCCATTTTATATTGCATTACAATATTCGTGTAAGTTTGCTTTGCATTTACTGTTGATCCAGCAAAAAAAAACACGTTCTTGGATTTTGTGTTCATTTTATTTGATTTTTCGAATGAACATATATATTCAAAGTCCTTCCAAACAACTTCCAGAAACCAATTGTTTTTTATAATAAAAATACAATTAAAATTTTGTTCGTGATTGACTTTAAGTATTAATTATTATTATTTATAGTAAATTCAATTTTATCAACTAGATAAATTACATATAAAGCGCGTTAAGTGTAAAACCATTTACAAAAACAAAATACAGTTCACTGCACTATTTCAATGAACGATATGTAAATTAGAAGAATTGCAGGCGTTTTCTCCCCTGCGATTAATTTGTTAAAGTAAGTGAGTGTAATTTGAATTCGGTTTCACGCTGACCTAAAAACTTGATGGAAATTTCAGTCGGAACTAAGAGTGACGTGGCGATAAAACTATTTGCATATAAATTTAATTTTTATATTAAGCGAGCAAGAATATTTTACGAGAAATAAAAATTATGTTTATATTTGTTTCAATTTATATTTCTCATTCGCTTTTACGTTTCGTAATATTCTTCATCCCAGTTCGGGCTAATATTTGAACGCAATTGCTTTATATTTATCTTTAATTATCCAACTAATTGTAACGCACTCGTAACTTAGCTTAGGATACTCAACAGGTTGTCGCGATTCGAACTAAACAACAACAAAAAAAACAACATTTGGTAATGTCTCTTTTATTTGCATGGCAAAGCACACTAGCAAATATTGAATTAAATCAAGTACACTGTGAACCCGATTCTCTCGAGCTCTTTTCAGTTCCGATTTAAGTGCCAATTACCACCACTACTTATATAATTTGCGTAGAAGCGCTCAACAAATTTGCAGTTTATAAGCAAAATCAATATTCGGGCAATTACCAGTGCTAATCAGCTCGAACATCGACGAATATTTTACCCATAAACGCGATTTTGTTTTATTTATTCAGTCAACATCGGGTGTAGCTTACATATTGTTTCAAAACAACATAAAATTGATTGAATTATTTTGTAAAGTAACGTAGTTGTACAAAATAAATTATGAAATGTTTATTTATTGAATGATGATTATAACTTCAGGAATTAAGATAAGTTTCAGCAAAGTCATAAATAATATTAATTGGAATACATTTTTAACTACAAAGTCATTAGAATTCTTATATTATTGAGAGCTTCAGATAATTTTATATAATCACATTTGATGTTTTTTTTTTGAAGAAGAAATAAATATATTTCATTTAGAATATTGCAAAAACGTGCACAAACAGATTTTCATCTAACCCTTTGATTCAATAAGGCAATTCTATATGTCTTTTGAAATATCAATTCCTTTCATCTTGTTTATATGAAATCTTTCTCGTTTCATAAAAATAATCGAGTTTTTCATCTTTTTATAAACTAAAGTATTTTCTAATTTCATTTCATTAAAATATTAATTAATTTTCATATATTTATAATTTAATATAATTTCGATCAGTGCGGATTCATTTCAAAACAAATTAAATTTTAATTGAACAAATTATAAAAATAAATTCTAAAAAAAATATGTTATGTTGTGTTATGAGGTTCTAAATCCTCGGATAATGTACGGATTATATACTTATTTAATTATAGTACAACTTCTATTAATGCGGATTTACTATAGTACTGTTTACTAAAAATATTATTAAAATTATAGTTTAGATTTTGTTTTGATAAAATTTAAATCATCATCTTTGAAATAAAAATCTTATTTTCCGTAAAATAAATTCAATTTGATGGAAGGAAGCCTTCGTTTTACCCATCGGTTAGTTCAATACTTCAGATACCGAAGTGATTGGAAGCTGTGAAAGTGACCTCCGATATTCCCGACGTATTGCCATACTAATATTTGTTTTCCCCCTTACATATTACTACATCTGTATCCGACCATCCATCTATTCTCAAATTGACAGTTGCAATCTATTTTGTTCAAATATGAGGTAACGAAAACGAGCTTTAATCGATTTACACATCAGCGCTTCCTTTATTATTTCTTCATGTAGAATGATTAACAATTTTGTGATTTTCCCTAAACAACTTGAAATATTTTCATCTTTAAAAAAACAAATACAACAAAACAAGTAAAATGTTTGACGATTTTTGTTTGCAATCGAAGAAGTATATTTTTTTTTAAATATTCGTATTTTGGTTTGTTGTTTATAGCATATCCATTGGAAGTCCACATAGTCAATAATGCAACTATGAACACGTCTGGAATGTCTCAAATTGTAATTTACGAGAAGCCTGTTGTTAATCCGGCGCCTGGAATCTGTCTACCAGTTATTGTGAACTTCTGCCAGAATCACAAGGTTCCTTACAACTTCACCATCTTTCCGAACTTCATGGGTCATTTCGGGCAGCCAGAAGCACAACAAGAGTTAGAAGTGTATGATGCAGTCGTCGACGTGAGATGCTACGAGTTGGCAGCTCTTTTCCTATGTTCAGTATTCGTACCAAAATGTGGTCCCAATGGTATCCTCGTTAGACCCTGCAAGAGCCTCTGTCAAGGTGAGTAAATCTTAAGAAATTTTATACCTTATTCACATTGGACACGTTCCGAACGATATTGAATTAAGCCCGGAACTAAGCCGCACAAATTACATATTGTAGATTTAATAATCGTGAAGTTAGAACTATGATTTTAGAAATTTAGATATCAAATTATATATCACAATTCCAACTTACAATTTACTGACTTGGGATTATATTCATTTAGTAAAGTTTACAATTATAATCTGGTTAAGACTCAGTGGAGGCTTGTTGATAACTCTTCCACTAAGATAGGACAAGTTCCTCTTTAGCTGTCATTCTGAAATTTATATATAGTCACATCTCGAATACTATGGATATTAATACGCATTAGAAATATTCACGAGTCGCCATTTGGAATAGATTCCTAAGAGCATGACTATAAATTGAATTATGACAACATTTAAAGACAAGTAGACTTTACATTATCACAATTTTGTCAGTCACTTGTATTATTTATTGTTTTTTTTTTCAGTAAATAGAATCAATTTGTTTATAATAATTACTTTATACAAATTGCTATAATTACTATTAAATGCACCAGAAGAGTACAGTCTTACGCAACACTAGTACAATTCGCTTGTAGATTATACGGATTTACGTTGATGCTCGATGTGCATTGATATAATAAGATTTTCTGCATCCGTTGCGATGAAAGTAATTTGCATAACAATTGCCATCACTTGAGTTAAATATTTGGGTCAATCTAAAATTACGTAGTAAACTATGAACGTCGTATAAATAATACCAATTCATTTATTTCCTAGAAATGAATTGTGAGATAACAATTTCAATTGGGACATGATTTAATGATATTTACATCTCTGTGAGACGGATTAAAGTGTGCATTAGATGAAGACGTAGAATTATGTGATGATAATCTAAGTTAGGTTAGGTCAAGAGAGTATTTGCCAATTTTATTACATGCTGCTGGTTTTTATTGGGACAAATAACAGATAGTTTTATTTGAGTTCTTTTAAGTTCGATTCATTTCACTTTAACCTTATGTTAGGTCAAGGTTTTTTTTGAGTTGAGTTAGGTTAGGATATGACAAATATCAGTTAGTTAATATTTATTTTATTTAAATGAGGATTTTTTTTCATTGAATTTTGATTACTTCAATTTCAGTTGTATTAGATTATGTTAAATAAAGATATTTTACCTTAAAAAAAATTAATGTACATATTTATGTTATATGTTTATTATTGCTACTATTTAATTTAATATTTTTGGCCCAAATAATAAGTAGTAAACAATAATAATTACTAATAATCAAGGTTTTGATCTTTTGGTGTAATTTTGTTTTGTTTTAAAAGAACAATAACGCGTTGATTTGTATGACACGCCACGTACACAATAAATAGATATTTGACGACGCAGAGTCGTGTACGTTTGTCTTTTTTTTTTCCTTTATAGAAACCAAAAGACGATGCGGATTTTTCCTGGACGTGTTCGATTTGGAGTTACCGGATTACCTGTTGAAATGCGAGTATTTCCCTGAAAGCGCCGATCCCGATGTGTGTATAGGGCACAAAGAGGTGAAGGAAGCGAAAATACGCGCCTCTAAACCTGGTAACACAAACAACCACCCCCTCAATCGTCTAACACACAACCATTGAAATGGGCTCTTTTTTCTTTCTCTTTTGCTCTCAGTATGCCCTTCCGGATTCCAGTGTGATGTGAAACGATGCATTCCCAAAGATTGGCATTGCGATGGACACATAGATTGTATGGACCAGTCGGATGAATTGAATTGCCAACAATGTGGTCCAGGGATGATACACTGCGGAGCCGAGCGATGCATGTCTCAGGAGCACATGTGCGACGGTAAAGTCGATTGTCCTTGGGCACAGGACGAACGTAATTGCCGTAAGTTCTTTGTTCTATTCATCTACGCTTATTAAGGATTATGTCCTTCGATACAATACGATAACCACATTGCAAATTTAATTCATTTGCTTTCGATATTTATCAATCAGTTTACTTATTACTAACTATTGTTGTCTTATTAAATTCTATCAAGAATATAATAATTAAATCTTCTATTTGTTTATAAAAATATATTAATTTGTATTTGTTTTATAAGAGCGTAGAAACGCAATGAAACGTGTCGTATTTCAATAAAACATAAATCAATTAAATATCTGTCGAACGCAGGAAAACTTCGAAAACAATATGAGAATGTCTATCAAATATTTATTTTAAACACGACGGATGTAATAACTTTTATTGCTGTTGAAATCTTGTGCGGTATTTAACCTTTAATTGCTTTTCTAGGCTAGTTTACAAAACATTTACAATATTGATTAATGTAAAAGACAATTTTCGTTTGAAATTGATCTGCCAAAATTTACATGTACATGATTCAAGGCAATAAGTTGAGTACGTTAATGCGAACAAACATATAAATGCGTACCAATAAAAAAACAGTGATTCTGTATTTACATGACAATTCACGGACAAATTGATGCCTGAAATTAAAAATAACTAGAAATAATTAAAAATGCATCATTATATAGATGTACGTGATTCAAGTTTCCAGTACGTTTGAAAAATGTCGTGTACGTTAGTGCGAACAAACAGATATGTGTATACCAAAAATAAAACAGTGATTTACATAACAATTCACTGACAAATTGACGCCGGGAAATAAGAATAATTATAAATAAATAAAAATGCACTGGACATCCAGTACGTTAGTGCGAACAGATATGTGTGTACCAATAAAAACAGTGATGCTGCATTTACATGGTAATTCACATTGACGTTATATTCATTTTATCGGTGGCAATCGCAAGCCTGACAACGAAATCCCGTCTATCGAAATCCCAAGTGTATCGAAATCCTGGCTGGCTCAAAATTCCGACATTCGAAGTCCCGACTACCATAATCCCGACAATCAAAATACCGATTATATCTAAATACCGACAGTGTCTTTTATTATTATAAATTTCTACAATAACATTTTTATGGTAGTCGGGATTTCAATATAGTTGGGATTTTGTTTGTCGGGATTATGGTAGTCGGGATTTTGATTGTTGGTATTATGGTAGTCGGGATTTTGACATAGTCGGAACATTAATACAGTCGGGATTTCGAACGTCGAGATTTCGAACGTCGAGATTTCGATACAGTCGTGATTTCGAACGTCGGGATTTCAATAGACGGTCTTTCGGTTGTCGGGCTTGCGATATAGACCCTCATTTTATACGTAATTGAACCATGATTGTATTAATGATAAATTTATTTTTTTCACATTATTTTTAAAACTCTGAACTTATAAAATAAATATTTCCCTTTGTTATATAAACAAAACAATTAGAAAAAAAGTACAACATTTGATACCAATCAATTATCGATGTTACGTGAAATGAAATCGTACTTACTTAAAGCTCTAATGGAATTAACTACATCGACTGAGTATATGTTCAACGGCGAAACTTTGTACAGAGAGCACAATGTAGAACAAATATATTAAATAGAAGCCTGTTGGTGTATAGTTCAAAACGTTACAATAGGTTAGTGGTGTACATATATGTTGAAAGGACTTTTGAAAAACTTCAAAGGGAAGCTTTAAAGCACAGAGAAATTCACCCTGCAGTCCATTTTGTTCTTTAGGAAACGCAAAAAGGTACTACAAAAAAGTATGCACATATTTACATAATAATAATAAACACATTGTAATTATTTGTTTATTAAATATAGAAACATAGGTTAATGATGTACAGGTATGTTGAAAGTATATTTAAAAACTTCAAAGAGAAGTTTTAAAGCACTTTACAGTACGCAAAAAAATGTATGTACATAATTATATAATAATAAAGTACTCATAATGTAATTATTTCTGTATCAAATATAGAAACAATGTTAAAAATAAATGATAAATAATATGAAGCGAAATAAATTTCATCGGAGAAAATTTATGTTACATAATTTACATTTAATATCGCGACGAAATTACGTCGTTGAATTATGCTTGGGCCGCTTAATTAACTTTAGATGATCAATATTATTATATACGCTTACTAGTATATACCATACAATATTTATATAATGTATTATGTAATATTACATTTTATGGTGGTAATCTAATGAATTGAGTAAATTTTGTCACGTGTTGCCCTTGAAATGGGAGTCTAAATATGACAACAACAAAAAACATTTAAAACGTTTTGAATTTAAGGAATTAGTGTATGAAATATGATTTGAATATTTTGCATATATGCATGCATTAATTGGAATCATTTAACTGGAATCTATTAATTAATTTAATTATACTAATTGCTCATTATGCGTATTATTTTCAAGGTTATATTATAATATTCACACAATTTTATCATATAAATTTATAGAACTATTATAATTACAATATTAAAATAATTATTTAAAAAAATATTATCCAAAATATTTTTAAAAGCATTTCTTTTTATATTTATATTATTTTAAATTTTATTTCAATCCAGTAAAATAATAGTAATTTTTACTATTTTATCATTTATTAATAAGTTAGTTTAAAAAGCTAATAAACAATATTATTATTGCAAAGTAATAAAGAAAATCGAGATTATATTTTTTTCTAGAATTTCCGGGAAATTTGTCCCGGTTCATCAAATCGTCTAGTGAGCTTATGTACGTTAAGACTGGACGCTCTTATATTGATATGGTTTTGTAGCCTCTTTTGATGTGATTTGACAAATCAAGCGATAATATCTGTAAAATTATCACTTTGTCCTGAAATAGTTTTAATTTTTTGTTTGTTTATTTTTTTTTAATTGCTTATATATTTAACAGGAAACATACAATATTGCTACCAAATAAATTATTAATTCGCTGAAATCAATGAACTTTGTAAATTATTCAATTAGCTGAACCCAAACATATTTAAATGATCACGACGGTCTTTGGTTTTGTATCGTATTCCGAAAAAGGGATTTATCGGAATCCTCTTAAAGTAGTTGTAATCCTCTCCGAACTTGTTATAAGGAAAATCTTGATCCGCATTATTAAATAAGTCTTTCAGGAAATGAAATCCTGTCTTTCAATTGTACTAGTATATAACGATCATTAAATTAGTTTGGAACTTCCGGATGCAGTCCGGCGATTAACTTTCATAGAGTTTTCAATTAAGATTATTGAATTGTTAACGTCCACAGGATAGATAACTTGCTTTCACGTTCCTCTCGCTCCAGTTTGTCCTGCCTCGCGAAATGAACTAATCGTAATGAAATTATCCTAATATACATTCAGGCATTAGTGCAATTAGTTGATTCAATAGAGATTCATCATTCAACCACGAAAATCCCTGCGTTCATTTCAAATATAAAAATATATCAATATAGATTGATTGATTCGGATGCAAATTATATTTCATACTCAAAAATTGCAAACTGCAAAATTTTGTTCAGCGAAAACAAGAGTTAAACTGTACTGAATAAAGTGTGTACATTTCTGGTTTTGAAATAACTGCTCGAAGTTACTGAAGTGGTTGGGAATTCAAATCCGCTGACCGTGAATATTATATAATCCGCAACGCTGAATACGTGCCACCCTTTTTATTATTATTATTATTTTTTATATATATATATATATAAATATTCTTTGTAACAAAACTAAATGTATTCGCAATCGATTAAATGTTTTTAGTACATATTTTCAAGAACTTAAGTGCTTTAAATGAATAAAATATGAGATGTAGTCGCACCGCAACACTCGCATTAATTTTATACTGAACAGATTCATAATTCCATAACTCCATTTGAAATATATAATCCGATGCTCCCATTAAAACGTCAATATCTTCAATCACTTTCAATATTTATATTTATAAAAAATTAACTATTCTCCGTTATTAATTTAAGAGAAAATAACTATACTATACTATAAATACGTTATTACCATTAAATCCAAACTATACAAAATCCAGCAAAATAAAAAAAAAGGGGACAGAAATTGTAAATTAATTATTTTTGAAATTACATTTTTATAATTAATTCATTCACTATTGTTTTGTAGAATAACATATTTTTTTTTGAAAATATTAAAATTATTCAAAATTTTATTTATCGTTTTCTCTTGTACTTTATGTTCTGATTTTTATAAATAACTTATTTTTTTGTTATTATTGAAGTTTAAAGCATTTTTTTCCAATTACTCTAAAAGTTCGATCAGTGATGTAAATTGCAATTTAAAAGTGATTACTTTTTTTTATTGCTTAATAAACGTGATCAAGTTTTGTAAGAGAATTAAGTTTTGATTAACTATTGTCGTGAGAATCCTGTTTCTCTATGAGGATTCACTGAGTACTGGGAATTAAACTTGAAATATTGATTTTTATATAACAAAGGGATTAAGTAATTAAATTTGAGTAAAAAAAAAATAGCGCTTTTTTTTTGACGCTTTGTACGAATATTTGTAATGGAATCATTAGTAATGAACATCATTTCAATATCGGGATTTGCTTTTCAACCGAAACCATTAATTAAATGCTGTGGAAACATGTGTAATCATTGCATATAGAAACGTTTGCAGATCAAATCCGAACGGAGGGCGAGCGTTCAGCGGCAATTTAAATCTGTTTGATGTTGTAATTAAAATATTCGTATTTTATTTGACTTTCATTTTCGTTCCGTTTTATTTATCTACCTGTTGCAAGTAATTTAAAAATAATTCAATTAAATTGATAGGATGTAAAAAAAAATAATTAATTAATATTAATGATATTTGATCTATGTAATTAAAGACTAGATTAGCTTATTATTGATTTTAGGCTTTAATCGGCCACTAATTTGGAATGGTCTTATTGGATTATTGCATACCGTAAATATTTTGTACAGAACAATGGGATAACTGAATATTGGAGGAAAACTATT